TGTATTATTTTTGCAACTTTTCTCTAGGTCTAAAATTAGTTTTAAAAAATTAAGTTAAAAAATGCACAAATTAGGGACACCTGGGTGGCTCAGTCAGTTGAGCGTCTGCCTTTGGCACAGGTCATGATCCCTACAGTCCTAGGATCGAGCTCACAGTTAGACTCCCTGCTCAGCCCAGAGCCTGCTTCTCCCTCTGCTTACCACTCCCCATGCTTGTGCTCTGTCTCTCCGTGTCTCTCTCTCTCTCTCTGACAAATAAGTAAATACAATCTTTTTTAAAAATGCACAAATTATGGGGTGCCTGGATAGCTCAGTCGTTAAGCGTCTGCCCTCGGCTCAGGTCATGATCCCAGAGTGCCGGGATTGAGCCTGCATAGGGCTACCTGCTCACCGGGAAGCCTGCTTCTACCACTCCCCATCCCCCTGCTTGTGTTTCCTTTCTCACTGTGTCTCTCTCAAATAAATAGATAAAATCTTTGGGGAAAAAATGCACAAATTAATGGTGACCACTTAAAAACATAAGTATGGGGGGAGGAGGGGGCTTATTGGTCTACATAACGGAAAGAGGTGGGGGGATATGGGATGCAGGTAGAGCTGGATCCAGCAGCTTGATTATTAGCAATTGTCTCCATCTCTCCCACTTTTGCTTCTGGTGTGATAGCTTCATATTCGGGCAGCCCTTTCCCTTGTGGTGGCAAACAGCCTGCCAGACTTCCAGGCTGATATTCTGCCATTTTTGCCACCCAAGAGTTTGTATTTCTCAATAGTCTTGTTTTGTTTACTGATGCATCCCTAGCATCTAACTTGGTGTGTTGAATGAATGGCTCCAGCAAAAGTCCTGAGACTGACTGTCATTGGTTCAGACTGAGATCGTGTGACCATCTCCAACCCAATCAGTATGAATTACTTTACCTGGATTACATGGGTAGAGTCAGCCTCCTATCCCACCAACAGGGACTGAAATAGAAGAAGGGCACTTCCCCAAAAGGAAACAATGGGTCCTCTTATCAGAAGGGTTGCTGACAAACCAATATATTCCCCACTTTTTCTCCTACTAGAGTGGTCTACAACATAGACATACACTGGAAATGTACAGGCTTAAATTCTCATGGGCGCTGGGTGTGCTGAGCTCCTTAACTACAGCCTCAGCATAACTCTCATTAGTGAAATATAAGAATTGGGCTCATTTCTAGGATGCTGGGCTTCTTGCAGCTGGATCAGATGGGATTGGGTGTCAGGGAAGGGGAACCGGCATGGCTGAAGATGCCAGAACCCCAGGATTCTTTCCTGGCCAACACAATGGGCTGTTCCAGGCCTGGAGCCCTTCCGGTCTATCTCTCCCAACCCTAGCCAGGAGCCTCCGCTCTAAGGTCTCATTTGTTCATTTGGATTGGGATAGCATGGGAAAGAGTCAGGGCTAGCTGAGCGTTGTGACGCCTCAGATGAGTACCTTATGCCTTGTGAGGAATATTCAGTGGGAAGACTCCAGAGTCTTAGCTCTCAGTCTCACCCAACTCCCCAGCTGACTCCCAAACAACTCTCCATGTCCCCCACATCCTCTCCCACACCTGCAGGAACAGAGGCTGGAGTAGGGCAGAGTGCCCACAGAGAAGAGGTCTAACTTGTGTGTTTTTCACATAATTTTATTAAGAATAAGGCATATGACAGTCACCCCTGAAGCATAGGGCTCTATTTCTGTGGGTGAGTGAGTACACTCTGAAAAGCATTGGATTAAAAAGCGCAGCCAACAGAGAATTTGGAGCAGGATCCCTCTGCCCCACCCGTGGGGCTCCTGCCACGTGGTTCGGAAGCCCTGCGTGTTCCCCATTCAAGGCTGGCACCTTAGGGAGAGGGTGCTCAGGGATCCCCAGCTCTGCACTAAAGAGAGACTGTTCCACACCCTCCTGGCCTCCTTCCTCTCCATTGGGAGACCTCTATTCTACTGCTGATATGGGGAAGGGCTATCCCATTTTAGTCCTGGAGTGGTCCCCCAAACTTCAGACCACTGTGGGTGGGATATGGGGGGCAGGGGTACACAGCCTCACCTTGCATTGCCCACTAATCCCTGGCTGGCTTCCAGAACAGGGAGGGGTCCCCACCTGCCGCTCTCTTTCCTGGGTCTGTCCACACTTGGGGTATGGCTGGACCTCCCCCTAGGGCAGAGTGTTCTTGTCAATGTGCCCCTCCCCTAGTGGGGATTTGTGCTGCAGAGAGGAGGGGAGCAGGGGGAGGAGACACAATTCTTTCTCTTCTAGTCACCCAGACATTCAAGGGGCTTAGGAGAGGGGGTCTTTCCTTTGGCAGGGTGGGTCCCCAGGCTAGAAGAGGGAGAAGGCTGGAGGCTAAGGAATTTGGGGCTCCTGAAGCCTAGGGCAGGCTACAGACTCCCAGGCCCATTCTACTGCACTGCGGGTTCTGTTCCAAACCCCAGGGGCAGGTGGATGGAGGGGAGTCTTTAGTCCATTATTTCCAGGAGAAGAATGGAGAAGAGGACTTTGTTAAAATTGGAAACCTCCATCTGCTTCAGCCCCTCCCCCAGCCAGCTAAGTGGAGGAGGAGGGCTGGCCAGTTTTCCTTCCCAGACCCTCAGGTGAGAGTCAGCAAGTCAGCCGCCCCCAGCACTCTCAGAACCTTTCATCTGGGGGATCTCTAAGCACCCCACAAATAATTAAGTGTCATTATCGCTGGTCTCTTAGAAGAGGGATAGGAATTCGGAGGTGCTGATGGGGTCACTTGGGGAGAGACCAGCAGGCCACTGGAGGCTCCCCGGGTAGGGGTGTGGTAGAGGCCCCCAGCTACACACACTGGGTCCCCAGGAGGGAAGGGAGGAAAAGGGCTATTGCTATAGAGCTGGGGGGAGGCCAGGTGGGCATAGCTATGGCTTTTAGTAGGTGGGTGGGTGGATAAAGTATGTCACCGTCTCTGTAGAAGAATCAACATAACAAAGTCACCCTGTTTACCCCCAGAGTATGGTTGTGGAAGCTCAGGGTGTGGGTGGGCTGCTCCTTCCTATACAGTCCTTGGGGCTCCTTCGCCAGAGGGCAGCCAAGAAAGAGAGAGGCCTCCTCACGGGGACACCTCTGAAAGGGAGGCAATAGGACCAGGGGCACAGTGCGTTCCACACATCTGAGGGGAGACACGGAGGGCAGAGGCACAAGAATGGGGTGGGAGAGGAGGGTAAGAGGCCAGGACGGGCAGAGCAAGGACCCCCAGGTGGCCCAACTTAGACTGAGGGAGAGAGGGAGAGCACTGTCTGTCCCAAGGATGTTCAAACCTTGGGCATTTGCAGCCCAGTGGCTGGAAATAACCCGGATGAGTCCCGGTTATTGCTCAGTGGTCTCAGCAGTCCTGAGTGCAGTCATCTGGGAGAGGACAGCATATTTGTGGGGGCTGGGAGCGTGCTCACTGGTTTTACTTCTTGTGGATTGACCTCCCACACCCTCTGACGTACAGAGCGAAAGGGAACATGATGGCGGGTTCCTCTTGTTCATTACAGGGCCCATGAGGGGAGAAGGGTTCCCTACCCCTAGAGATTGATTCTGCTCGTCTCCCAGACCCTGGGTGACACACAGAATGCTTGGCCTCAGCCAGGGCAAGACCCGGGATGCGCTATCCGTGAGTGAGGTAAAGGCCTCTCCCTGCCCCATAATCCCTCAGCAGCCCCTGGAAAACCTCACAGGCACTTAGGACTCAAAGCAGGACCAACAGAGGAAGCATGGCATGGGGGAAGGGGCATAGGGTTTGTCTTTCTAGGGGCTGGCCTTGCAGTGGGGGCCATGTGCTGGACTGGAACTGCACTTCCTTCCTGCCTTGGGTCAGGATTGGGGAGCTGGGGAGAAAGTAGCTAGAAGGTGGGCTGTCCCACTTTCCATTTCACCACTCCCCCCTTCTAGAAAGAAGGGTTACATACATTGAGTACCCGCCACTGTCAGTTCTGGTAGGACTGGGTGCATCCCTGGAGGAGACCAGCCTGGGGACTAAGCTGTGCCTCCTATCCACCAGCCCCCACAGCCAACTCAAACCTCTTATCAACCACTGCCACTTCCAGGAACCTGGCCCTTCTTCCCACCTCTAGGTGCAGCTGGGCAAAATTAGCACCAATAAACAGGACTAGGAAAGCTCCCAAGGCAGCCTTCAGGTTCCCAGCTTCCTTGAGAAGGGGAAGGCGGTTTCTGCCCTTCCACAAGCCTGAAGGAGCAGCGGACTCCAGGGGACCCCGTGTCCCCCTCCCCTTGCTTCCCTAGCACAGCTCCCAGCCTAAATACTTAGGGGTGTGGGGGGGCATTCTGGGGAAGAACAGGACTGGAGACAGCTTTGGACCAGGTTCTGCCATCTAACCCATTCGGTACTCCTCTCCAGAAGTTCAAACTTCCATCGCGTCACACTTCCCCTACCAGGGGCTCTGGTAGGAAATGCCTTTAAAGTGTTGGGTGCTCACCGGTAAGGACCTATTAGCGGGGTCGGGGTAGGAGAAGCGGCGTCGGAGGAAAAACGTCCAGCCGCTAGCCTGAGCCGGAGCCTCCCCTCGAAGGAAGGCTTGGCAGGAAGGGCAGCCGTGTGGGGCTGGGGGAGGTCCGAGAGAGGAGCCTGGAAGGCCTAGGGGTGCTAAGTGCCACTGCGTTCCTTTTGTAGGCCTGCCCAGTCTCCCCTCCCTCGCGTCCAACGATTGTCAGCTTTCCCGGGACAGGGGACGACTCTCGCCCCCGCCCCTCCCTGCAGCAGGGTGGGGACCACATAAGCCTCCGTACTGCGAGTCCTCTCCACAAAAAAAGGTGCACTCTCTCAGCCCCGCGGAGGAGCCCCCTCGGGGGAGGAGGATACAAAAAGGCTAGGGCGGTAGGAAGAGCTGGGGGAGCTGGGGCCGCCTCCGCTGGCTCCCTGGAGGAGCGCCGGCTCCCGCGACCCCCGGGACCCCCCTGCGCGGCCCAAGGTGCGTCCCTAGCCGGAGGCCGAGCCGGCCTTCCGCACTCCCCACCCCACAACCCCCCCCCCCACCCCGCCTACTCCGGCTCCCTGGGAGCGCTAGGCGGGCTGGGCGCGGCCGGCGGGCCGGCTTGGTCCGGGGGCTCCTGGGGAGGCGGCTGGCGCGGGCTGCGGCCGCTGGGCCGCGGGGGCCTCCGCGGGTAGAGGAAGAGTGCAGGGTCGGGCATGGGGTCGATGTCGTCCAGGGAGCGGGCCGCGCGGTCCCAGGCGGCCCAGTCCCGGCCCGGGCCCTTGGCTGCGGCCTCGGCGGCGGGCGGGCGGCGAGCCCGCTGTGCGCGCCGGCGGGGCCGGGGCTCCGTGGCGGCGGCAGCGGCGCCGGGGCCCGGGCGCGGAGTCTGCAGTCTCTGGCGCGCCGCGTGCAGCTGGCAGGAGAGGTAGGCGGCCGCCTCGGTGTGCTTCTGCAGCTCGGTGCCCAGCACGGTGGCACGGTGGCTGCGCCGCCGCAGCTCCTCCAGGAAGCGGCGCTCCTCGGCGCGCAGGCTGCAACGCAGCGCGGACACCAGCGCCTCCCGCTGCGCCACCTCCCGCCGCAGCTCGGCGTTGGCGGCGGTCCGCGCGGCCAGCTGCGACTCCAGCGCGCGGCACTTGCTCTCCAGCTCCCGGGACGCCGCCTCTGGGGAGGAAAGACGGAGAGGAGAGGTGATGGTCTCCGCCAGGTCGACCCTGCACAGCTCTCCGACCCAAGTTACAGAGCCCCGTTTCGCCCTCCCTCCCCACTCATGGGCTACGCTAGCCTTCCTTTCTCTTCCTCGGGGCCCTTGGACCTATCCTATCCTCTGGCCTGTCTGATTCATCAGGTTTCAGTTTAAATGCAAAACCCTCCCTGGTCACTTACGCGCTCCATAAATATTTGTTGAACCCTTACTATATGTATTGTGCTAGGCATAGGGGATATGGAGGATAATAAAACATTCCTCATGAAGCTTACAGCAAGCATAGTGGGAGAGGTATAGTACATAATCACAAATGAATGTGAGCTTGCATCTGTGACATGTGCCAAGGCCATGACTCACAGGAGACTGTGATCTAATGAGGCTTCTCAACGGAAAAGCCACTTAGGCTAGCAGGAGTTGGAAGAATGAGTTGGAGTTTAGTGAAGAGCTTGAGAGGCGGGTGGTTTGCACAGAGGAGCTGGTGCAAAGGCTCCAGGATAGGAGAGACATTCAAGAGTGAGGGACTGAAAGACCTGGGACCTGGGAATGTGGGCAGCAAAAGGGAATCAGTGGGCCCTGGGGCTTGTGGTTTGTTTGTTTCTTTCTTTCTTTCAAAGACTTTATTTATTTATTTGACAGACAGAGATCACAAATAGGCAGAGAGGCAGGCAGAGAGAGATGGGGAAGCAGGCTTCCTGCTGAGCAGAGAGCCCAATGCGGGGCTTGATCTCAGGACCCTGAAATCATGACTTGAGCGGAAGGCAGAGGCTTTAACCCACGGAGCCACACAGGTGACCCTTGCAGTTTCTTTCATAGAGCATTTGTTATGTTTTGTAATTTATGTGTGTTATTTATTGTTAGCCTTTGCCCACTGCACTGAGTTTCAACACTGGATATATGTTAACTACCCAGAGAGCTTTAAAAAATAGTTTCCTGGGCCCTAACAAAGACCGACTGAATCAGGATCTCTGGGATTGGACCTGGGAACTGACACGTCTTCAATGTGCAATGTGCCCATGTAATTCTAATGTACCCACAGAGTTGAGGATCCCTGTCTCCCCGATCATGAGCTCCATTTCAGCAGGGAACACATCCTGGAATTAACACATGTGAGTATTTGTAGAGATAGAGATAGCTGGAAGGTGACAAAAGGTAGGCAAAAGGTGACTCCAGAAAGGATAGGAAAATCAGCAAATGGTGGGGGAAAAAGAAAGGGAGGCCAAACCCACTGAGAGACAAGATAGAAACCAGGACACTGGGTAATACCTTGAGCTCAGATGACCCCTGAAACCCTTTCAGAGGAAGGATAGTAGGTGGGGTGAAAGTTGCTGCTGTTACGGAACTGGTGTTTGGGATGTATGCCTCCTTCCTCCAAGTATCAAGACAGGAAGAGGTTGCCTCTGGTTGCCACTTAAAGAAGTGGGAAGAATTCGTTCAAGTCTATAAATGTTTATATCTTTATGCATGAATATGCAAAGCAATTTGTACGACTCTCAATGTTTTACGTTAAACTTAAACTTTCAACTTTCTCCATGCCTAAGTCTTGGTCACGTATGTAGCACTTGATCTAATGAGCAGCACATCAGTATGGCTAAATCCTGCTAAATCCCTCCCGGCTAAGAAAGACTATGTGGTGATTCATTTTAAATTAACCATTTACCAAGTCCCTCTCCATGTCTTGCACCTGGAGACAATGGATAACACCCAGTCCCAGTTCTCAAAGATCATATAATTTTGGTGATTAAGATCTCAACAATGGAACCCCTCCCCTTTAAAAAAGTTTTAATTGTAACAAACACCAAATAACATGGAGTTTACCACCTTAACCAATTTTAAGTGTACAGTTCAGTAGTTTTAAGTAAACTCACATTGTTGTGCAATAGGTCTTTAGAACTTCTTTGTTCTGCAAAACTGAAACTCTGTGCTCATTGAACACCAAACCCCCTGCCTCCATTTTATGGGTGAAGTAATAATTTGTAAACAAATATTTTAGTGGAATTGCTATGTGGCAAGAAGTCGTGCTTTTGTAAAATGAAGGATTTGCTGATGTGCATGTGTTTCTTTTTTCTCCTCATCTAGATAAAGTTCCTTCAAGTCATGGACTCCACATTGCCATTGTGTCGTATCTCACCACTCAGCATCTTGTAGGGTGTGGACACTGACCACAGAAATCACTTGTGCAAGGATGGGAAAGATGAGAGAGGTAAGTCATATAGAAAGGAGTAAAGTCAACCAGATGGATTTCTTGGGTACCATATCCGTCCTGTGTTCATTTTCCTACTTTGGGTAGAGACGTGTATACAGGGTATGGTGGTACAGGTTGTTCATTGCACAATGTAACCCAGATGAGTAGGCAGATGGGGCTGACATCCAGCACTCTGTTCAGCAAGCTGAGGAATGGCTGTCCCCCATGACTGGACTAGGGACAGAGAAGGCTTGGGTCCTATTAAGTGGTGGGGAAAAGGTGACTGTTGGGCTGTTGTGGCATTTCCCCACCAGTCATCCTTCTCTTACCTTGCTGATGAGACTGGGCCTCTTTCATCTCCAGATCACGAGTCAGTTCTGTGGGGAGGACAGAAAAGAAAAGGTAGTCATGTGTGTGTGTGTGTGTGTGTGTGTGTGTGTGTGTGTGTGTGGTGTATGAGAGAGAGAGAGAGAGAGACAGTGATCAGGGAATCACAATGCAGTGAAAGTGGCAATATTAGCATCCTTAGAAGCCATCTGAACCACCTTCCATACCTATTTTACTGCAGTCCAGTGAGAGGAAGAGATGAATAGAGGTGCAAGGCACAGCCTAAGCCTGATTGGTCTGATTCTAAGCCCAGAGATCTTTCCAGTGCAAGCGCCATGAGCTGCGTTTGGAGGTTAGTTCAACCCTTGGACTGAGGAGCCCGGCTTGCTTTTGGGGGCTGGGGGAGTATTTGCTTCTTCCCATCGGTGATATACAAATATCTAACGTGACGGCCAATCAGAGCCACTCTGGAGCAATGCAGGGCACAGCCCCTTTAGGGTTTAGTTGGTGGATATGGGAAGGCTGGAGGGTCCTGGGCTGCTTGGGGGCTCTGGAAGGGACTCAGGGCAGTAGATATTTACCAATAGGGTACATGCGTTTCACTATTTTCACAGCCAGTACTGCTGTGCCTGTGTTATTTTCTGAATATCAGCCAGGCTCCTTTCCAAACCCTGTTTCCGCCATGTTCCGCAAGGCAAAGAATGGGGCTTCAAGGAGGATAGCGCCACCTGGTGACGGAAGGCCTACATGGTGCTCGCCTCTGCGCTGAGGGGGAGGGGTCAGCTCGCTAAGGGTGCTGGTGTTGAGAGAGGTTTCTTCGCGGGCGCCAGCAGCCCAGCCACCACCCTTGCACCTCCCTGTCTTCCCAGTCCCCATTCCTTACCGCCCAGAATGCCCCATCCCTCGGCCAGCTGAGTTTGATAATTTTTTCAGCCCCACCCCAACTCCCCCAACTCCCCCGTGGCTCAGCTGGGAAAACGGAGGGAGTCCCGCAGCTGCTGGTGACAGACGGGATCTCCTCTGCAGCAAGTGTGTGTACCTGCAGGGATGCAATCTGGTGACTAAAGGGAGGAGATGTGGACCTGGGAGTGGGATAAGGTAGCAAATCTCTGGGATCAATGCCCAGCAACACCTACATAGTCTAGCCTTTGGGCCCTCTGCCCCTCCTTACTGGCTCTTCCCTTGGGACGCCAACTGTTGCTAGGAGACAGAGAGCCATGGTACCTGGGCCTTTTGCTGTGACCTGAGTCTGAACCTCCTTCCTGGAGCTCCAGGGAGGACCCTGATGCCTCTATTCTCTAGGGCTCCCTGGAGCCAACTTGGCCCCTCCTGCAAGGCCCCAGAGTAGCCGAGGGGATTTGGTTCTGCCACTATCTCCCAGTGGGCCAGTTACACCCTTAATCAGGGAAGTTGGGGGAGGGGACTGGGCTCTACTCTCCCATCCATCAGATATCCCTGCCCATCTTCTGGCCAGAGTCCACACCTTTAGAAGAGCATGCAGGGAGATCAGATAACCCTGTGTGACCTTGGGCCAGTAACGGCACCTCTCTGAGCCTCAGTATTCTCCTGTGAAGTGGGGACAAAATCACCCCTGCTTCTCAAGGGGCTATTGCTAGGATTAATAGAGAAAATAAACAGAGCGCCCAACCCAGGGCTGAGTCAGTGCTGAATATATGGGGCAGTTCTTGTTACCATGCAGGCTGCCCCAGCAGCCAGAGTATACCCACCCATATCTTAAACCTTTTTAGTCTGAGTGGCACCTGTTTCTGGCAGGCTCTTTCTGAAGCCCTCCCCAGCTAGTTCCTACACTAGGTCATCCCCTCTTTCACCCCCCTCCCAGCTTCTGAGTCCCGGTTTATTTTATTTTTATATATATTCTTAAAGATTTTATTTATTTATTTGATTTATTTGTTTATTTGAAAAAAGAGAGAGAGAGAGGCTTCAAGCTGGGGGAAGGGCTGAGGGAAAGACCATGCGGGGCTTGATCTCAAGACCCTGAGATCATGACCTGAGCCAAAACCAAGTTGGGCGCTCAGCTCAACCAACTGAGCCACCAGGTGCCCCTATATATTTTTTTAAAGTTTATTTTATTTTTTAAAGTAGGTTCCATGCCCAACAAGGGGCTTGAAGTCACATCACTGAGATTAAGAGTCCCATGCTCTACTGACTGAGCCAGCCAGGCAGCCCTCTGAGTCCCTATTTAGTCTCCTTGAAAAAAATCTTTGTTTTGCTCCCCTCCCCTCACTCCTCCACCCCTTGGAAGAAGGGCCTTATTAATGTATTTCAGCCCCAAGAGTGGCTTCTTCAGGCCAGCCCAGAGTTATTTTTATCTCCGTAATCAATAACAAGAGGCTGCAGTCCCATACCCAGCTGGGAAGGGTGGTGGGGCTGTTCTAGCCTCTTACGCTTTCTTGGGATCCTGGCCTATGTCCTGAGAGGAAGAACCCAGGTCTTCAGAATTAGGGCAAAGCAAAAAGAAATTAGGGCAAGAGCTGTAGGGTCTTAGGGTATGTTCATTCTGATTTTCCTTTAATGTTGTCACGGCAATGAAAAAATGCATCCGGCAAGGACATCAGGCAGGGGGAGTTGGTGCGGGCCATCCCTACCTCCTGGGCTAGCCTCTGCTGCCATCCAAGTTTCAAGGGAGATGGCAGGGAGCCTGGCCTAGGAATGTAGCAGCTGCTTCTGTATATGGAACCAGAGGAGGACGTGGTGGTGGAGAGTCAGGATGATCAGCTTCTCCTGCCACAGAGTGAGAACCCAGGCAGGTCACTCAGTTTCCCTCTAGAGAATGGGGAGTCTCGCGTGAGCAGGGGTGCAAGGGCAGTAGAAGTCTGAGCGTCTTGGGGAGAAAGTGTGCAGAAAGCTGCAGAGGCATGCACAGCTGAGAGTCTGGAGCTCTGGGTTCTAATCTTGGCTCTGTCACTAGCATATTGTGTGGCGCTCTCTCTCGCTCTCTCTCTTAGGTAAACAAATAGTTTACCTATTTGTATAATGAAGACGTTGGGCTGTTCCAGCTGACACATTCCATGAATCACTGACTTTAAAGCCTGTACTTGGAGACTCAGCCTGGGTGAGCACTTTGGCCAGAGCCCAGCCTCTGAGAGGGCAGGTGGCTGAAGCCTGAGGTCCAAGAGCAGAGTTCAGGCCTAGGTTTTGGCTTCATTCTTGGTATCTCCTTCTGTTCTTGCTCACAAATCCAGTTGGTTGCCAAATCCTTCCCTTCACCCAGTCTCCACCCTGATCTTCCCCTTCCTACCCTTTCCATCTCTCCCCGGACCATTTCATCGGCCCCACCACGAGTCTCCCTGCCTCCCTCCCAATTCATCTTCCGTACAACTGGCAAGTTTCGCGTTTCGCAATGCAGCGTGATGCCCTTCAGAAACCTTCCGTGGCTCCTTACTCCCCAGGAGAACAGGCCAAACTTCTTAGCTGTCCTGATATTTGTCAGGGTCTTCCATGATCTCCCCGCCACCTCTCCTCCCTCCCCTCCCCTCGCCCTTCTCTCCCTCCCATCCTCCCCCCACCCCCTCACCTGAACAGCGTTTCTGCAGCCTCAGGATTTCCAGGTGCAGGTCTCGCAGCAAAGCCATCTGCTCCTTTTTCAGGAAGCTGATGTGGCGTTGTACACTCTGGATCTGATGCTCCAGGGACACGGTATCCATGGCAACCCAGGCCTGGGCCCCACCTGGGTGGAAGAAGATAAGGTAAACCCCCATCCTGTGGGCCTGTCTGCCCTGCCCATCCTCAGATCCCTCTGAGCCTCCTGCTGTTTGGGCTCCCATTGCCACCAGGCAGATGGTTCTATGGCTGTACTCATTTCCCCTGTGTTTACTCACCCAAGTGCCACCTGTGTGTTGTCGGGGAAGTATTTATTCCCATTTAACAGATGAAGAACTAGAGGCCTGGAGGGAAAAGGCCGCACTCCCCTGCCTGCCTGTAACTTTAGCCTTTCTGCTTCTCAGAGAGGAACACAAATGGAGCTGCCAAGTCAGGGAAGGGAGACAGAGATAGACTGTAGCTTGCTTCTTAACCAGCTTTGGGCAAAGCCCTCTCCCTTTCTGGGCTCTTGGTTTTCTTATGGCTAAACTGGAGGAGCTGGGGAATGGAAAAATGCATCCCACCAGCATCCCACCAGTAAGCATTAAGCAAGGGTGCCCACCAGCCGGCAGACCAGAATGATGGTTAGAGCACATCCTATCCCAATTCAACTCCATTTCTCTGATTTAACCTTAATCCGGGACTCTGGGCCCCTCTAGGTCGCAGAGGAGGAAGATCTGATGAGTATTTTACGAACACCAACTCTGTGGGCTGAAGGCAGGTGGCAGAATCCCTTTTTATTTGTTTATTTTTTAAAAAAGATTTTATTTGTTTATGTGACAGACAGAGATCACAAGTAGGCAGAGAGGCAGGCAGTGAGAGAGGAGGAAGCAGGTTCCCTGCTGAGCAGAGACCCCCCCGATGCGGGGCTCGATCCCAGGACCCTGGGATCATGACCTGAGCCGAAGGCAGAGCCTTTAACCCACTGAGCTACCCAGGCACCCCCAGAATCCCTTTTTAAAAGAGGAATGGCTGGCTCAGTCAGTGGATCGTGCGACTCTTGATCTCGGGGTTGTGAGTTCAAGCCCTGCTGGGTGTGGAGATTATTTAAAAATAACATCTTAAAAAAAAAAAAAAAAGAGAAGAGTGGGAGACGTGGATAAGGAGACCCATGCCAGTGATTCCATGGTGAACACATAAGACACTGTGAAGGGAGGGGAGTTCTGCACCCCTGAGCCTTAACCACGCCCTGGCTTTGCAGCCCTCCCCCTTTTGACTCCATCCCTTTCCCAGGAAGTCCCTCTTGTGACGATCACCATCCTGGAGAAGCATAAGCAGAGGGCAAAAACAGGAGGCAGATTTCTCGCCTTTTCTGCCAGGGATTCCCTAAGCTTTTTTTTGTTTGTTTTGTTTTGTTGTAAGTTTTTAAATTTATTTGAGAGAGAGAGAGAGAGAGACAGCGCGCATGCAAGTGGGGGGAGGGGCAGAGGGAGAGAATCTTCATGCAGACTCTCCACTGAGTGCAGAGCCCAACACAGGGTTCCATCTCACGACCGCAAGCCCATGACCTGAGCCCAAACCAGGAGTCCAACGCTCAACCGATTGACCCATCCAGGCACCCCACTCCCTAAACTTCTAAAGGAGCTGTTTCTACCTGCCCCAGAAATTCCCTGGGCCTTGGAGAGAGAGGCCAGTTGATGGACCACTCTTTCCGGCAAATGGTCCCCTCCAGACTGACTTTGATATAAGTCCCTGCAAATCCAGATTTTCATTTGTAGGGTTGCATCAAGCAGGTGCACCTGAGAAACTCACATTGGTCTCTTGGGATCCCCTTCCTTTACTCCCTTAAGCTAACAAAAGAGGCCTTTCATTTCAGCAGAGGGTGGCCCTCTGGCCTGTGGCAACCACTGACTACATTTACATTACCACATCTGCTATGTTTAAGAACGTTATACACATTACCTTGCTTCTGCTAACTGTCTTTAGTAGATGTTACCACCCTCATTTCACAAATAAAGAAACTGAGGCTTGGGGTACCTGGGTGGCTCAGTCATTAAGCATCTGCCTTCGGCTCAGGTCATGATCCCAGGGTCCTGGGATTGAGCCCGGCATCGGGCTCCCTGCTCGGGAGGCAGCCGGCTTCTCCCTCTCCCACTCCCCCTGCTTGTGTTCCCTCTCTTGCTGTGTCTGTCTCTGTCAAATAAATAAATAAAATCTTTAAAAAAATTTTAAAAAGTTAAAAAAAAAAAGAAAAGAAAAAAAAAAGAAACAGGCTCAGAGCTGAAGTGATTTGTGCCAGTTCATGTGATCCGTAAGTGGTGGCAGACCCAATTCTCTTACTGGGTCTTTTGAATCCAAAGTAGGTTCCCAATACTCACTCTGAGAACAGTCCTGGGTTTGAATCCTGAGTCTTTCAGTTACCTGCTGTGTGACTTGGGGCAAGAAAGTTAACTTCTCTCCATCCTTTTTCCCTTCCTGGTAAAATGGGGCTAATGGTAGCAGTCTTAGGATAGTTGTGAGAACTAAATGAGATTAAAAGGTGCAGAGCACTTCTTCTCTGTCTAGTGTGTGGGTAGGTTATTCCTTGTCTTGATTTGCCCCTTTATTCATTCATACATTCAGTAATCTACTTGTTGCCAGCTATGGGGGTATGGGAGACACACTGATGAACAGAACAAAATCCTTGCTCTCGTGGAGCTCACAGGATGAAAAGGACCAAACAAACAAATAAATAAATGCATCAAATAAAAAATAATATCGGTAAGTATACAATTATAATCTGTGAAGAGCACCCTAAAAGAAACATACAGGGTAACGTGGAAGAATATAAAGCGGGACCTAGTTTAGATTTGGGGCCAGAGAGGTCTCTCTTTTTTTTTTTTTAAGATTTTATTTATTTATTTGACAGAGAGAGATCGCAGGTAGGCAGAGAGAGAGAGGAGGAAGCAGGCTCCCCGTGGAGCAGAGAACCAGATGCGGGGCTCGATCCCAGGACCCCGGGATCATGACCTGAGCCGAAGGCAGAGGCTTTAACCCACTGAGCCACCCAGGTGCCCCACCAGAGAGGTCTCTTAAAGAAAGTGATTTTAAGCCAAAACCTTGTGGCAGGCAGAATTCTAAGCTGGTCCCCAAGATTCCCAGCCCCTGGTGGATATGCCCTCCTGAGTCTTCCCCTTTGAGTGTGGGCAGGATTTTGAATATGATGGCTTTTTTCTCCTGTGATTAGAAAGGATTTTGCAATGTAATAAAGGTTTCTAATCAACTGACTCAGAGTGAATCGAAAGGGGGATTATTCTGGGAGGCAGTTCATAGGGTCTATACTGAAGGAGTAAACCACCATGCTGTGTGGCAGCCCAGGGAGTAAGCCACAAGGCAAAGACCTGAGAGAGGCTGCTGGTAGCTGAGGATGGTTCCTGGCAGACAGCTAGCAAGCAGCGAGGACTGCAGTTTGACAGCTGCAAGGAAGTCAGTTCTATGAACTACCTAAGGGATCTTGGGAGTAGGTCTTTTCCCTAGTTGAGCTTTCAAATGAGAATGCAGCCCATCTTTTTTTTTTTTTTTTAAAGATTTTATTTATTTAACAGAGAGAGAGAGATCACAAGTAGGCAGAGAGGCAGGCAGAGAGAGAAGGGGAAGCAGGCTTCCCACTGAGCAGAGAGCCCGATGCGGGGCTTGATCCCAGGACCCTGAGATCATGACCTGAGCTGAAGGCAGAGGCCCAACCCACTGAGCCACCCAGGCGCCCCAGAATGCAGCCCATCTTAATTTCAACCATTTGAGGCCTTGCGCAGAGGACCTAGCTAAAATATGCCAGACCCCAGATCCTTGGAAACTGTGACTTAACACAGGTATGCTGTTTTAAGTCACTTAGTTTGTGGAAATTTGTTATGCAGCAATAGAAAACTAATAAAGACTTGAAGGAAGGGAAGGTGTTAGAAGCAGAATAAAGGGAAGGACATTCCAAGCAGGGAACAGCATTTGTGAAAGTCCTGAGGTAGGCTAATAATGATAGCTTACATTTATTCAGTGCCTACTATGTGCCAAGCCTTGTGCTAAGTGCTTCACATGATCTTTTTTTTTAAATTTTTAAATAAAATTATTAATTAATTTATTTATTTGACACAGAGAGAGAGAGAGATCACAAGGAGTCAGAGAGGCAGGCAGAGAGAGTCAGTGGGGAGCAGGCTCCCCACTGAGCAGAGAGCCTGATGTGGGGCTCGATCCCAGGACCCCGAGATCATGACCTGAGCTGAAGGCAGTGGCTTAACTCATTGAGCCACCCAGGCATCCATCACATGATCTTTTTGGGGGAACAGAGACATTGTCACTGCTGGTGAGGATTGAAGTGTAATGTGTCAGGGGATGGTTGCAGGAAGTGAGGTTAGCAAGAGAAGGATTGCAGAGTCTTGTAAATCATGCGGAGAATTTTGCATGAATACTAAGTGAATTGGTAAGTTATTAAAGGATTTTAAGCAGAGAACAGACATGATATGATTTGCATTCTTAAAAGATCACTCTGGCTGGCTGCTCTAGGGAGGGCAGATTAGAGGGGACAGAGTGGATGTGGGAGGTGAGCTGGGAGAATGTTGCAGTGGTCAAGCTGAGAGAGGATGAAGGCCTGGACCAGATGAGGGAGGTGAAGACAGAAGTTTCAGGTGTATTTGGGGGGTAGAATGGTCAGTATGTGGGAACGGAATGGATTAAGTCATGATGACGGGGTGGGTGAATGTTCAGGATGTCTCCCAGTATTCTGATTTGGGCAACTCAAGTATGAAGGCACATTTTCTGGCTCTTTCTACACTTCTTGGTCTTTGACATTAGACCTCTTTCACAATGGACCTCTTCTCTAATCTATAATCACTCCCTAGGTGATTTTGTCCAATTCTATGGCTGTAAATACTATTTATATGCTGACCCCCACACTAACTCTCCCGTGCACTCTAGACTGACTATGTAACACCTCCATTTGGATGTCTAATGGGTCCCTCAAACTTACAAGTTCCAGTGCTGAGCTCTTCATCCTACAAACCTTGCCTACTCTTCACCATCTTAATAAATGGCACTGGTTTTTGCCCATTCACTCGGTGGCTCAGGCCAAGAACTTAAGAGTTATCTTTGATTCCTCTCTTTCTTCATATTCCAGACAAT